GCGACTCACCCCGTATTTTTGGTTTGATTTGGTGGAATGGCAACGATCTCGTTGGCCGAAATGATATTACACCATATGATCATTCATGGCGTTATGAAGCCGCACATCCCGACCGTCTTGGTACAGAGGCACGAATCATTGGCAACGTTAAACTGTTGGCCGGATGCAAGGAGGCGTCGGACGCACTTTGCTGTATTTGTGGAATTTCATCATATTTATATGAGTTACCATCTTTTGTCGACGACTTTTGGAAGGAGATTAATGCAGTCATCGAAGAACTCGGCATCCACCGTTTTCAGCCAGATAATCTCATCTTCCAGTCAGATCGCGTGGACAACTGGCACCTCAGAAAGACCCAAGAGAATATTGACCGCTTCGTTAGCTACGTAGTCTCAATCGTCAAGTTGTCCTACCACGCGAACGTTGTCGAAGCTCCCCGAGAGGGAATTGCCGCGTTGAATCGGGTGAGAAGATTTCGTCACAACTGGGACACCGACGAGACCGTCAAGGTTCCTGAATCTTGCGTACAGCTTCTCAATGAATTCGCCGAACAACGAACGAAGCGTTTCCAACACACTTTGGGTCAGAGTAGACAGTTTACTGTCGAAGAAATCCAGACGTTCAGCCCTTTCGAGTCGAACGACGTTTCAGTCGAAGAACTCAAAGCCTCCATTAACCTGGAAGGCGAAGACCCACAAGACGTGTTGCAGTACATCAACATTGTCCCCACCGTGGAGCTTCCGGAGGAGCAGACTGCATTGAATCAACCTAGGGGTGAAGAAACTACAGCCGACGTAAATGTCGAGCCGAAAGTCGAGACTACAGATGCAGACGTCGACACGCCGGATAGCTACACTGGCGGCAATGATGACATGCCCGGGCCTGACACCAACGTAGCAGGCGTAAATGCCTTGCCAGCGGCGCCCGAGCAAGATCAGCAAATGGCAAAGATTGAGGCCGATGTCCTTGAAGTTTTGGCGGATGTACCTATGGCACCTGAGGCAAGCGATGAACCCGTTGCGGGCACGTCGTCTTCTTCCGCATCAAGACCACCTCTGCCACGCTTACGAGGCAAAGGTCAGGGGCAGGGCACTCCTGCAACCGCTCCCGTAACGGGGAGCTTCCTGGAGCCTGATGACGGTGTCGATCGTGACTTGAAATATTCTGGAAAAGGGAAGAGCGTGCTCGTTCGCGAGAACGCCAAACAATATACATTGCATCATATCACCGGCCACCGATACTACTACGAGTATGAGGACAACCATGGCTATCCATGGGAATGGTGTTGTTCTTGGCCGAAGCACGTACGGCGTGGAATTTCAGGATTGTTGCGTGGGCACGTTCCCGACATTTCAATTTACGATCCGGCGTGCTATTTACCAGTTTACAAATTATTGCAATTGGCCAAGGCGAAATTTCCAGACTATGCGGATACAATCAATTTGTTTGAACTCATTTCTATGCTTGTATGACGACAAGGACAGAATTGAATTCCAATGCGTTTACGATTCTCGTGTGAATGAAGCCCTTGAACTTTGGGCGGCGCCTGTGAAGGTGAGGTGTGGCCAAGGCCACACAGATGATGTCCTTGAGACGAGGTCCAACGAAGTTTTGGCCACGGCGATCTACTGTCGTCCCGATCACACACATCGGTATAACCGTCGTCTTACCGCACACGGTAACAGGGACATCCCACCTTGGCTTTATCACCGAACGCATGAAGATGCCGCACGTGCAATAATTGCTAATGGACTTCTACCAGGTGGAGGTGGCGGAGGGCCAAAAAGCAAGGGTAATTCCTTCTTCTCCATCCTACCTCTGGGAGACCAGAAGGCGATGTCAGGAGTCCGTGCGAACAGGCCAGTTGAACTTTGCTTTTCAACCGCGGAGATCATCGAGGCAGGCGTCGACCTCTTTTTGACCAACTCGAATGCAATGATTACAAGTCATCATGTTCCCAACACGTGCATCCTCTTCGCCACACGTGCCCGCGTAAATGCGGAGCCAGAAGTGTTCTACTCAAGGCCACAGGCTAGTGACCCGGCGAACATGGATGTTGGAGCACCGCAGGATGACGTTACATTGATTCCAGGTGATGTTGCAGAGGCACAACAACAACAGGCTGCAAGTGAAGCCACACCTGAGGAGCGAACAGCCGCCAGCAGTGCTGCCAAGAAAGAATCTATGGAGGCAAGTCACGATACAGCTGTCCCACAGATCGAGAGTGGATATTTTCTTCACCTTCGAACGTTCAGTTGTGACAAATGCACCACGCTTTCCTTAGCCGGAATGGCATCCTGTCACAGGTGTGGAGCAGTCTTCCAAGGCAGCGCAACGGATGGTCCTGTTTCGAAGTTTATGCGATTGCAAATGAGGCGTGCGAAGACCGTGCAACAGCAGGGGGGTATTCCTAACAACATGACGGCCACAAGCATGCTTGACAGCATCGCCGCACAGGATATGCGAGGTCGTCTTCGCAGAGCATTGAAAGAAGGGTATGAGAATGTCTATGACCGATTCGAACGCGACGACGTCTTCGCCACCTCCCTAACCGGAGAAGGATGCACCGCATTCGATGCGGCGCAGGAAGACTTGTATGCGTCATTGCAGTTACCAGCACCCTCGCGATCCGCAAAGCAGAGATCCAAAGGGAAGTCAGTTGTCAGCGATTTGGATCGTCAAGACAGAGTTGATCTCGCCAAGCTTGCGTACATTCGATGCGGCGTTGACAACCTACATACCTGTTTCAAGCAAGGCCTCGACGAGAACTTTTTGATCAGCTATCGACGTGAATTTTTGTCTCTTCGGCAATTTGCTGCCGTAATTGGCAACAGCCGAGACGAGATCAGAATTCAGGGTTTCATTCCGACCGGAAGATGTATATGGCGATATTCATTCTATCCGCATTCCTCGTGGAGACACGATGGGCACTTATAAGATTTTGAGCGAATTTGCGGAGGAGAATGAGAGCTTTGCCAATATTCAGTATCAGCGAAATGCCCGACAGTCCGCAAACATGCAGGAGCGTGATCGAGGACAGTCAATTCAGCAAATGGGATTTATGAATGTTGAACAGCGAATGGCAACGCCACTTCCGAAGTATGCGGATTGCGGACAGGATATGACATCCTATGAAATTCATCGGCTGGAGCAGCTTTTGTTGGAATTTGGACAACGAGAAGCACCGTCTCCACAAGTGCCTGTAACAAGGCCACCGTTGACGCGGAAGCGTTCGCAATCATATATCGAAGGCGTTGCCGACGCTGACAAGCGACCGAGATTGCAGTGGAGGAAGAAAGAAGAGCGAGACCAGTCTGGCCGCATTGCTTCATGGGTTGATGATCGAACTCCTCCACCAGGCGTGCCTCGTCCACCTGCTCCCGTAACAGGGACGCATACATCGTCGGTGTACAGGCCGCCTCATCCTCGTGGTCAAGAAGCAGCGTCACCAAAGGAGGACTTCCCTAAACGGAATGTCAGTGCAGATCAGAGCATTGCCGGCAAGGGCAAAGGACAAGGCAGTTCTTTTACCAAGGGAACAAATGCTCCCGTAAAAGGGGCGCCACGTGGTTCAGTCGGCCGTGCAATGTCAAGTCGTCCTGAGGACAGCATGCCCAGGCGAGGCAACATACTGAAAGACCTGTTAGGTCCACCACTGCACACTCCACCGCCCGTTCCATTGGCAAAACCACAAATTCCAAAGCCACCGAGCATGCCACCGCCAGTACCGGTGAAAGCAGCTCCAACACAGCCACCTGCAAAACCTTCCCCACCGAAGGTTCCACCTCCAAAGGTGCCTCCTCCAAAAGTTCCGCCGCCAGATATTTCCAGCACCACCAGCGGCATACCGGCAAATACTCGGCCACCAGATTTCAATCTCACGCCGAAGCCACCGCCGCTTACAGACCTATACAATCGGTTGCAACCTTCCGTAAAGGGCAAACAGCAGGCGAGCCAACGAGGAGGACCCTATGGTTCACTGCGATGGAATGTACACAATGTGCCGCCACCACCGTTGCCTTCAGGAGTTCCGCCGACAGCGGCATCATCCTCCAATGCTCCCATAATAACTGGGCAGCCAACAATGCGTGGAACGGATGATCGACCATTGGAGCCCTTTGATTTTCCTGGGGTACAATGCCAGCGCACCGACCCATGGGCCGATAATTATTGGCCGAATCACATGGAACTTCGACAGTGGTTGCAGCAGGGATGGCATGATGAAACGGAGCGTTTTGGATATCGACGCTATTGAAAATATGTTGAACTGCTACCATAACTGGTATGACGAACAGCCTATGAGTGTTGAGGTAGGGATCACCTTCTGACGCGCTGTGAGATGATGTTTCACTTCATTGTCTCACTAGATATTGCATCCTTAACCGGATTGCACTAGTCGGAGAGTGAACTTTTAATCAATACTCTACTTAGAACTGGGTCAAGCATGTTTAACCACATGCCGAGTGAGCCGGAAGGTCGTACATTAGGGTAGCTACGTTCTCTCTGTATAGTGCACGCACGAGCTTGATGAGGGATTTCTAATATGATTCCTTCGTCGCTAGAATTCATTCCTCCCAGAGATTTTCCCTACGAGTAGCTCCTTGTAAAGGGGGGTGTTGAAATTCACCTCATCCCTATGGACCCCGTAGCGTGTACTCTCAAGGTAGAGCAAAAGGGACGCTTAACGGCTAGTCAGGGTTAGCTAGGGAAGTAGAGCTGATCCTGTAAAATACAAATCCCTTAAACCTGCTAACCCGGAAAACCAACGCAAGACGAAACCACAGAAAGGTGTCGACAGAGAAAGGCCAGAAACATAGAAATTAACAGACCAAGCCCCGTAGGCACTAGGCTGTGTTAATAGTGAGGGCCCAGCCCACCCAATCCACATGTCAATCTTCCTTGAGACTAGTGACCTGCAGCAGCCAGGAATAAGGGCTGCTGCATCTCAAGCCAAGGGCATGTTCACCCAAACCACCCCAATCGACGTGCCTCAGCTGCAGGGTGAACAACTTCAGCTTCTCCGATCCATATGTTTGGTGGGAATCCGAGAAAAAGGCGCATTATCCGAGTTACTATTTGGGTTGTGGGCTCTCATCCACGAAGAATGCCACGAAGTTTGAGCCTCCGGACCATTTCGTTGATCCTACCCCAGAGCTGGAGGCCTGGGGTGTCCCCATCGTGCACTTTATGCACGGGGCCCGCTGTGTGGACGCCGCCAGGTCTTGGTGGTCCTTCGGCGAGGTGAAATTAAGCTTGAAAGATTGTGAAGAGATGAACGGGCAGCAGGCTTTCCTTTGGGCACCGGGGCAGGTGGCCTTGACCATCGCCAAGTATCCCTTTGGCAGGAATTGTCTCTACTTCAGCTTGAGTGACCAGGAGGTGCAGGTGGGCAAGTGTGACTGGTTGTCGAAGAACAATGTCCCGCTGAAGTGGTCCGAAGATCTCATGGCACTTTGGGCAGGAGAGTGCCCTGGTTGGGAGTATCGGGTAAGCTTTTTTCCCGGCCGTCGTGGGTGACGTCCCTGCTGGGGGCAAGCATGATATCTTTTCACCGTTTCTGGACAGCATATCCAAGGTACTGTTGGCAAGCCAGCGGTGAGCTGGAGATGGTGAAGTGCAAAGACTTGCCACTGGCGGGGGGCGGCATCGCTCGGCAGGAGCTTCCCTGGTTTGCGATGAACTGTCCAGCTGGTTCACTCATCACCTCCGTGCAAACGCGGTTCTTGGAACTCACCGTCCACTATCGATGTCGCTGGGCCAAAAACATATGTAGAACGATGAGCAAACCTGGAGAAGGAACAGAACTTCCAAACCCTACGAGGTTTCGCTGGAATTGTATGTTCAGGGGAGGGTGTCCTGAGTTGGCATGGGGTTCGGCATGAGCACCGTGTTAGACCAAGTTGATTTGGTAGAGTTTGGGAATTTTTGGGCTGTGCAGGAGATGACCCGCTCCGGCTAACGGGGGTCTGCCACTCGTGATTCGAGGTAAAGAGATGATGTTTATTGGTTCATGCACAGAGTGGATCACCCCCAACTTTGCCAGTACTGACCGCGCGATGATGGAAGCTCGTATCAGCTGCCCGTCGCCGGACATGGGCTTGCAATCCACCTTGGCATCCGCCCCAGCGGGCACGATGAGCGGAGCTGCATCGGTCAGCGTCAGGCGCTGGTCTGCTGGTCAGGTGGCAGGTGGTTCCGTTGTTTTCAGCCAAGCCGGGACCATTGATTTGTCCGTGGTCCAACGTGTTGGGGGCGTTTTGCATGCCAGCCCTTTGAACTCAAAAACTGTGAATCTGTCCGTACGGCTTCTATTCCACTTTTTGCTCCAGGTATCGCTGCTGTTATACTGGCCCCTTGGTCACATCCATTGCACTCCAGCGTGACGCCAAGTTGTCCTGGGCGCAGAGCCGTTTCAATGACTACAATGGGGTCTATTGTCCGCAGCGCCGGGACGACACTGGCCGGCTGCAATATGAGCCTAGCACTGAAAAATGTTATACAGCTCATATCCAAAGAGTCACAACGAGGGCCTGTTCCCCTTCTTGATTGGTTGGAGGAAGGGTTTCTGTGTATGTCTCATTTCTCAAGTTCACGGAGAAGAATGCCGAAGAATCTAAGGGACCCAGGCAGTGTTGGCTAACTCTTCACGACTAGACCTCTTCTTGTTGGGTCAGGAGGCCTCAAGATGGGCTCCTAGTGCTCCTAGCTCAGGAGCAGAGTTCGAGCTTCCGACCCTCTACAACACCCAAGGGACTGCTAGCATTCGATGCTGTCAAAGGTCAATGGTGCTTGGATTGGCAGGGGCGAAGGAGCCACACAAGGGGATTCTGCAGCTGTGTTTCACCGTATTCTTCCTCAGAGAGGGCATTTTGATTTGGGAGAGGGCCCTTTTTGGTGTTTCATTTTTTCAATAAGAGCTTCTGTGGCTTCCATGGCTTTCGACTTCTTGGCTTCATGGCTTCTTGGCTTTTGGCTTGTTGGCTTTTGGCTCTCTCTTGGTCCTTTGGTCCCTCGGGACCCTCTGTCCCTGTTTCCTTGCTTCCCTGGTCTCACTATCCTGGTGAGCACAAGAAGTCCATGCCTTCCCTTGTGCTGTATGTGTCGCCTCGCCTCATTCCTCACTTTGCGCTTCTGTGGCTTTTGGCTTTTGGTGGCTTCAGTGGCTTCTGTGGCCTTCGGCTGGAGTTTGGTTGCGGGTTGGTTTGGTTGTTGGCTTGCTTTTGTGGTTCTGGTGGATTTTGTTGGACTTTGATGGCTTGGTTTTGATTTGAACAACTTTCCACTTGGCGGGGCGACCCCTTGCCACTGAAAAACTCCACTCTCCTCAGAGGCATGAAGGGGATTGCGCTGCCGGAGCCTTTGGGAAAAGCCCCATGAGGAACAACCTAGCAAAACCAATAAGCCCAAGTTAAACCCCAACAGCAAGTGAGGCAAAGTGGATGTTTTAGATTCGGCCGCCCTGCCCCACCCTTGAAAGCAGAAAACTCTTTTTTGTTAAACTCGGAGGCATGTCAGTGTCAAGTGCCACTGCGTACCTTTCTCACAAGCATATTCGGCAAATTTAGGGGCAAAGCCATTGGGGTGCCCAGATTGGCTGGTACTCGCAAGGACTTCTGCGAACACCAAACCCTTCTACCAACTTCTGCGAAGGCAAACAGGGTTGAAACGAACTTTTGGAGAATTGTGAAAGCTGACGGGGATACTCTGTGGGCTGGAGAATGCATGGACTGAACCTCGGAACCTTCGAAACCTTCACCCGGAACAATTCACTTGGAACCTTTACTTGGAACTTTTTAGACACCTTCGGAGCCTTCACTCGGAACCTTCACTTGGAACCTCGGAACCCTCACTTGGAA